CCCCCCTCCTTAGTGCCCCCCTCCTTAGTGCCCCCCTCCTTAGTGCCCCCCTCCTTAGTGCCCCCCTCCTTAGTGCCCCCCTCCTTAGTGCCCCCCTCCTTAGTGCCCCCCTCCTTAGTGCCCCCCTCCTTAGTGCCCCCCTCCTTAGTGCCCCCCTCCTTAGTGCCCCCCTCCTTAGTGCCCCCCTCCTTAGTGCCCCCCTCCTTAGTGCCCCCCTCCTTAGTGCCCCCCTCCTTAGTGCCCCCCTCCTTAGTGCCCCCCTCCTTAGTGCCCCCCTCCTTAGTGCCCCCCTCCTTAGTGCCCCCCTCCTTAGTGCCCCCCTCCTTAGTGCCCCCCTCCTTAGTGCCTCCCTCCTTCGCGTTGATATCTTACTCTTTAGGACCCGTTAGTGCTCTATTGTATTGGTCACCAGAAGTTTCTACCCACTAAACCCCTCCAAACCACCTTCCCCCTACATTCCAGCCGTCAAGGACCCAAATGCCCTCTGTTAACCTCATGTTTTCCGTGGGTTGCTCGGTCCCTACCATATGTCTGCTATTCAATGCCTGATTTTTGGACCTTTAATAAAACGCAAGACCTTTGTAATGGTTTAGGGAACCCATTGTGCTTAAGATTTTGCACAATAGTTACTTTACATGTGGTTTTATGTCAAAATTTTTTATATAAAAACATCTTCAAATTTTGCATGCAAAGCGAGGTCATCGTGGAAGATGAAAGCCAAATACAACTGAAGTGCGTCTCTACCAGTTAGAAGTGCGCACACTACTGACTCAGTCTCCAAAAACCATTTGTCTTGTTTCCTATTAATTCAATTATCGATTTATTTTGATTGTCACAGTGCTGACGCGCTTATCATGTCAAAATTCTCTCGTCATTTCCTCTTCCCGTCCTTCCCAAGTAGTAAAATCTTCCCTTAGTATAGCTGAGATCCTGGTAAACACCATCCACATCAAGGAAACTCGCCTGATTACGTTGCGACAAAATCTGGCAATTTACATCTGCAAATGAATACTCGCATATCATTCTTTTCTACAAAAGTTAACAAACTCAATCATTTGATCATATGCTTTTAGGGAATCCTGTGCAATAAGACGACGAGTGAAAACTGGAGACGAGTATATTAAAGTTTTTTTTTTAAACACGGGAGGCCCACATGAATTTCATTTTAAATTTGAATTCTCATCAATATTGCAAATGGTTTGTGGTTCTTTTCTGCGGATGGCGAAGCATATTCGTCTGCATGTATGTTTTTGTGTTCACTGTGCATATAGTAGGTATTTCAATAAGGTCTCTAAAATTACGCTGGATTTCATCCTTAAATCAAGGGAGAAAAAGCGCAAAAATAAGCCAAAATTGATCCAGCATAATCTTAATTGCTTTTCAGTGTTCTTTTACTTCATGATATTATTATTTTTGTTTGTTTTATTATGACAATTAATCTTTTTTGTGTCAGGAAAGTTAAAGGATATATTTTGAACCACTCAGGACGGAACTTCAAAAAGTAGATGATTTTTTTTCCAAAAAAGCAAACGATGGTAAGGGTTCAGACAAAACATTGCAGACCCATTTTTAACATTCATCAGTGATCACTTATCTTAGATGATGAAATTCTCTAAATAAAAGGCTCCATGTAGGGAAAAAAACGCCCAACGGGAAACGAGATATATTGAGAGTTAATTGAAGAAATATTGACTATCGAACTTACAACTGATAACATCCTGAAAATGCTCATCATCCTCTGATGACCGTATTGAATATCGAGAATGGAAACATCTGCTTTCCTTTTTTACGAAAGCTAACAGGTGCCAACATACGTCGAGCTTACAAATGCAAGTTTTAGCAAGTTGTCGCGTAATGCATAGGAGGATCCATGTGAATTTACAAAAGTTGACTCATTAGCATACAGTTTAAAAGTTGTTTTGTGACAATAAACGCTATTGAAGCTATACGTTTACTCTAAAATTGAAAAACCGCACGGAAACTATTGTATATTGTGAGAAGTTCAATCCTCTAATTCTTAGGTTGCAAGCATATGACCAAGAATCCACTATTAAATAAAGAAAAAACTGTCGCTGCCATGTTGGATCGAATGAACAATTAAGAGAAACCAATGAGGAATGTGATTTGTGATCTTCATCCAACATGGCGGCGATGACATAACTTGCAAGCCAAGAATAAGGAAGGTTTTAAAGTACCATTTCCTTTCACCTTTCAGTGATTATTTGGTGTCATTTTATTTTCAGTCTTGGTTGTCTCTTCTATTCTGTATATATGTACAATCTTGAAAACGTTGACTTTGCCGCATTATGTATTCCGTGAGAAGTCAATACGCGTAAACAATATAGTCAAGAATAACTTACCAAACTAAAAAAAATCAACCTTACCAAACAAGCGCTTTTGACCATCTAAAAAAGGGTAGACTGTTGAATACAATGCTGTCAAAGAACAATATGCCGCTACATAATGTATGGAGCACCTATGCACTTTTTGCTCAGCATTTTGGCATTTTTTCATATTTTGTAAGTAATGAAAACCCAAGGATTTGTGCAAAGTTCGTTGTCGAGGATGTTGTTTATCAGTTATAAATATCGGTCCAACTTTTATCCTACCGAAACCGCAGACCACCCGCAACGCAGGCTACTTCAAGAAACATAGTAGTTTGGGGAACCACACTGCACAGTGCTTTTATAGATAACAACAACTTTGAATGTATCATCATGGTATGTGTCAAAGAGAGTAAAAAAAGGTGAAATAAAACAAGAATCGCGGTTCACACTACAAATGACGCGGTTCACACTACTTCCAAGATCTTTTAAAACTCGGTAGGCGAGATTTACATCCAAAAAGGAAGGTTGGTAGTGTAAAAATTGAGCTGACACATAAACCCTATACCATTGATAAAAAGATCAGTCTGAAATTAGTAACTTTTTTAATTAGAAATTAGACTTAGAAAAAAATTAAATTTATAGAAATATTACAAAACAAAATTCAACAATTAGCAAATTTTACAAAGAAATGTATGACGTGAGAGATGACAACATTTCATTGTAAAGTTTGGTAATGTATCTTTAAGTATCTGCAATTTTTTTTCACTTTCAATATGTTAGTTGTTAGCTATTTATTTCTCACTGGTCGGGCTATTGCTAAAAGAATTTGTTATGAAATCATACAATAATATATTTAAGAGCTTATGCTAAACCAAACTAAATGACCATCCAGACGTAACCATTAATTCCTGGATTAAAGTTTTTTTCATTTACTTATTCATTCTCGGCCTTTTTGTCTCTCGCTAAATTCTGAACATGTTTCCGACATTTTTAAATTTTGTATCTATGAATGAATTAACTTGATATTGAGTATAGAGGTGAGCCATCCTGCCACGATTGATAACAGTTTGTATGATTTAAAGACGCATTTTAAAGTATTGATCATGAAGTTCAAATAACAGAAGTCAATAAATCACTTGTGACTGCCAGAAATCATGATGTATTACTTTGTTCTTTTTGGTTTAAAACCATCAATTATCATACTGTGCTACTGACCACAACAGTCTGATGTCTTTGATTAGTTGTTTTCGCTCGGCTTCAACTTCATACTGTGATCTAACACGAGCATGGCGATAATTTGGCGTTAATTGCTCAAGGTATATCTTTAGATATATTAAATTTGCAGCTAGGAAGGTTCTTAATAATTAAAAACATGTTTGATACTAGCTTTATGTTAAAAACGATGGTGATTCAGACGTTTCGGTCAAGACGACTTTCCTCAGTGAATGGAACCGCAAAAATACATGTTTTTAATTATTTTTCAAGGTATATATATTTACTTTTTTATAAAATTGTTTCCCGTTTCGACCTTTTAAATGGTTGCAAATATCAATCGTTAAACAGTGAAATCTATTCTTGCATTCTTTTTCAGATTCATTCTCTTCTCTTCCATCAATTTTATCTCAAAAAAATCATTCATTATTTTCCATTATCTTTCTTCTGCACTGCATGATCAGCACTTCATTAATGCATTTTGTTCATTTGTCGACTTTTTGCTAATTTCTGATTTTGGTCAGTAAATCGGTCATCAACAACCCACTGAATAATAAGCTTAAAACGTTCTTCCTGGCTTCATTAAAATTATCGCCTGCACGTTAAAATAATTTATGACGGCAAACTGGTCAGCCTTTGAAGCTCGGTCTCCAGCAATCTGCTATTCACGGTGTCTTCATTAATATTGGTTCTCAGCGTTGCGTTGGTTTCTTGTCTTTGTTATATGTTGAGTGAAACATCTATCCAACAGTTGCGTGCTTATTTCGCTCGCGGTATGATTCTAAATCTTTTACTGGTAAAAAAAAAAACAGAAGTAATTAAAAGATGCTGTACCAGTGGTAAAGAAATTATAGAAAATAACGTTGTCGGGAGCTATATATATATATCGATTGTACTTGACACTGATGACATTTTTCGTAACTTTTTGTAATGCGCCGATTTCAAGGAAAATAAAAAAGTGAAAGGATGCGACCAAAAAGCATCTTCCTAGACCTTTATTGTATTTAACCAATGAAAGAAAAAAGAAAAAAGACTTCTTTATTGCAGAGACAACTACCTTGCGTGCGAGTGCCTTTTAATTGCTTGACTATGAAGTCTGGCTGACTTGCCAATTTCTTCACTTTTAGTCTTTTAAAAAGCAATAAAAAAGCAATAATGTTGGATTAACCTTGTTGCTATAGTGCTAATACTAAACACGCTTGAAATATGTTGGTTTTTTTTAGATTTTTTTTCCGCAGAAAGCTTAACTTTTGTTTAACCAGTGAAGTACGGTCTCATGGAATCGTATAAATTTCATCAATTAGCTTTGCTTTGAACCTCGTCATTTTTCTCTTATTAAGCGTCTTGCGTTTTTGTTTTTCCTTTTAAGATCAATATCTTGGTAAGTAGCTCTTATATACAATATTGAAGAAAAAACTCTATTATATAGCGCATTAAACCTATATATTCATAATACAATGTATACAGCCTTTTGCAAAAATTATGAGAATTGTCTAAATATCTAAATATCATAATATCCATATCCATATATTGTCCGGAACACGCGGGTTTGCTAGAATAATTCATTGTTGACATCGAGAAAATGTTCAGAACTACGGATAAGTCTGTCGCCAAAAAAAACCTAAACTACAAAGACAAGGGACTAAGGGCATCGCGCGGGATTACACATCATGCACTCGATATTATGATATTTAGATATTTCAACAATTCTCATAATTTTTGCAAAAGGCTGTATATTATGTATACACATTTTTGTATGATGATTTGCGTCTATTACAATTAATGCAAACCTTGTATTCGACTAAACTCTCTTTTTTGTACACAGTTGTTGTCATTGATAAAAGCATCTCTACCAGAAGAGTATAAATGGTTATTTACATGCTTTTAGGAGAGTGACTGCTTGAATTATATAGAGTAAAAGGAATTGTCGGTACATGTCAGCGCTGAAATAAATATACTTCCACTCCGGTTTGAGTTTACAATGTAGACACTCCGGCAATAGTCTACTTCACATCAAATGTTTTTGTTTCTAATTCAGTTTATCTAAACATCTTTAATAATCTTGATAAACAGACTCAAAGATGCTCAAACAACTTAATAAAGTTTAGATGTTTAACCGTTGAAAGCCCTCAATAGAGACTAAGGGTTCTTAGAAAAGCTTTTAACATTCACTTGACAGAACGCTTCCATATTGTATTCCAATTATCGTTCGAGCGATAATTCACTCATTCTCTCAAAGAAAAGTTTACCTGGATTAAAGAAACATTAGATATGATTTGAATTAATGGTGGCAACAATCCAAGAGCGCTTGTTCAAAAGTAAACCTTTGTTAGCAACTAGTTACTAATCTAGCAACAGTTTTGAAATTTTTCGTATTTAACCCCTAACGCTCAAATAACGAATTTCCTTTTCAAGCCTATATGATGTCTTCCTGTAGAGATGATGGCTTTTAGATTGCACGCGCGATTAATATTGAGGGGATTTTCCACAGACTTATTATCCCTTAAAGCCTTCATTATCATACTAAACTTCATTTCCCCTTCAATTTCCCTCCTTGTTGAGACCTCTTCTCCAGACTGCCATTCGGTGCCAGCAGGACATCTCGCAGTACACATTTTCACTTTTAATAACATCGCAAGACTGGAATCGTTGTTTTCAGGTACGATAAGTCAAAGTCCATTTTACAAGCCCGCCATTTTGAATCGGTTTGCAATGTATCATGGGATATAAATCTCCCTTTCTTCATCAAAACAAATCACTAAAATTGTAAAAACACTAATAATTTTCAATTTTTCCGCAGTCAAAATATGTTTGTTTTCATTTTTGCTTGTTTGATATATTTAGTATTTTGGCCTCTCAAGACTTTGATATTAATTTCATCTTGATTTCACATCGGAGAAAATGGTCCATACATTTGGAACATTTGCTCATTTCGGTCCCAAGCTCTCTCTTGGCACGAAAAAGAGGCTTGAGCGTGCGCGCTACACTGTTAATTGAGTCGTATCAACCGTAGAGAAGTCGGCATTGGCATTCGCATGGTTTTTACAAATCTAACGTAAAAGTAGAGCCTTTAAGATCTCGAAAATCGAATAACAAAGCGAAGATTAGTAAGATGGACATTGATGGCTCTCTAGAGTAGTCAAGGATAGAATTTATGTATTCAAATCTACATTTAACTGCAGTCACGCCACAATAAAATAGCGGGTTATTGAGAAATATTTGCCAGATTTGAAATAGTGTATTGTTCTTAATAGCTCTAANACCGCTATTCAAAGAGTTCTTCATGCTGCTCACTGTCCTCACTAGTCCGCATCGTTAAAAATAATTTGCTTCAGTATTTTTCGAATAATTGTAGTTTGTCTCAAATTGGTCTCCACTCGAACCAGTGCCATCGTTTCGAGGGATACAAAAATCCATACAAACTGAAGCAAGTTCATAATAATCAAAACAGCGTGACAAAACATCTTGTATATGCCACGAAAATCGTAGCTTTTCCAGTCGATTTATGCTATAGACGCCTTGTCAGGCGAGTGCACAATTTTAAGTAGAATACGCCGTAAAGAATGCCAAAATGACGGTGCTTAAATTTGACGGATTTTTAAGTATTTTATATCAAAATGTTCACAAAAGTGCGGGGATTTCAAATCCACTTCTGTTTTTTTGACAGGTTCTGTTTAATTTCAACGAGAGCGAGTTKACTACCTTGACCCGGGGTTTGTCACGTAATTTCTCTTGWAAAAGGCCTCCAATTGTGTACATTCAACTCAAAAATGACGGTRATTTTTTTYACTAAAATTTCACCAAAAACATTTCATAGGTTCCCTGAATAGTTGATTCAACTGTAGCCGTTTCTGTTTTTTGMCTAGATAACTGTTATTTTGAGAAAATTCTCCAAAAACACGTTTATGAGACGAAAAATGAATGTAGCCATGTGGGGGGCGTGAGGCTAAAAATATGGCCTGACTATTTGTTAACACATTTTCTCCGATGTTGGTCTTGAAGCACAAAATCAG